TCATCTTTTACATCATCTGAGCTGCAGTCAGTGGGAGAATAGGCAGAGACGACGAAGAGGCAACGACGAGTGTCTCTATCTTTCCGGATTCTTACTGTTCCGTTCAGTCGGACAGCGCACAAACGACTGTCTACTGGGATCCACTCTAAGAGAGCTAGTTCTGCCCTAGGACTCAATGCTATACCTACGCCGGCGAGGCCACGGGAAGCAGAATCAGGGCTTCCAGATACACGAAGCGTAAATCGAGTCGGTTCTTTATTTTGGCATGGTGAGGTCAAATGAATGATGCTACTTGGATCCTGTATGCGCGTTTCGGAAACGCAGCACACGTCGATGGCGCGAGATTCTAAAGTCCTAGCTAAGGAAGCCTGCTGTCCTATTTGGCACAGTGTTCGGACGTTAAAAGCTCCTACGTGTAGTTTAGAGCGTGGTTTCAGGAGACCAGGAATAGCGTTCCACGTACTCGAATCGTTTGCCCTACCGGTGCGAGGTGATAAAGAGACGTGAGGAGGGTTAGTCATGGAGATAAGAGAGGCATTAGGAGGTGTAGGAAGGATTTGAATGTGACCAACTTGGTCTCGCGTGCTGTTACGGGTATGAGGGCTGATGTCACTTCCCGGCTGCCCACACCGTGGAAGGGTATTTCTTGAGGAACCTGAAAAGGAAATTGGATTAGTGTTGGTCTTAACGACCTGGGAGTGTGACCGCAGAGCCCAAGGGACAACTGCTTGAGGCCGGTCGCGCACGGCCTTTTTGTAGAAGGTTTTTGACGTGTTAGCTCCGTTCTTCAGATGGCCTTACCGCCGGAGACGGAAATCCGTGAGGTAAGGTGAGGTGTGACATTTTTAGGGTCGACCTTTTCTAACCCCACCCCTCCTTGTGGGAAGGCAGCATCGCTGTCATGCTGATCGTCCGAAGGAAACACCTTACTGCTGTCACACCTCTGTACAGTCAGCAGTACGACTTCGCCCTCAGACTTTGAGTTGCTGCTTTTAGTCTTACCGTTCACCAATCGACCTGCCTGGCATGGTAGAACCTACAGGGACACATGTTCCAGCCAATATAGCTCGGCTGGGTCATCACGATAGGCAAGCCCGACCACCACGTCAAGGTAGCAGCTTCGGTCGGGAAGTAGGTAAACTAAGCGATAGGGAAAGACATCTGGGTGAATCTTATAGCATCACGGCTCAAAGAACAGATAATGGCGACCGTCTGTTGCAGCTATGCTCGGATAACCGCCTCTTTCTTGCAAATACTAACTTTAAGCATAAGGAAAAACATCTTTTAACATGGAGACCCCTTAATTCGTCCCAGCGTTGGATCCAAATAGATCACATCGCTATCAGCCACCGATGGAGGGGCTCGATAGAAGACTGTCGCTCATTCTAGAGCACATGCTTATATTCAGATCATGCTCTAGTGCGAGCGCGTATCTGTCTGCGCCTTACTGGACGTAGGAAAGACGCTGCAAGGAAACCTCTTAGGGCCCTACTCAATGATAGTCAAGCTAAGAGTATATTTCAGGAACAACTAGGAAAGCAGTTAGGCAGCCATGTATGTGATGCCCACCCCGAGGCAGCATGGAATAATATCCGTAAAGCTGTGGAAACAGCAGTGATATCTGCTAGTAAGGTGAACCACACGGTTAGGGAGAAACACTGGATCTCAGCAGCATCTATCGCACTGATAGATGCTCGGAAACTCATTCCACCTGGCTCTGAACATAATGAAGAGCGGAGTCAGCGTAAGCGTAAGCTGACAAAAAGTCTACGCAATGATCGTGAACAGTGGTGGGTAGCGAAAGCAAGAGAGATGGAAAAGACAGCGGCAATAGGTAATAGCAGACAATTGTTCAGACTTGTTAAGGAAACCGAATGTTAGCGAAACACTCTCAGAGAAAGATGGACATATTATACACTCTCAATCCAGGAGATCGGATCGATGGGCAGAACACTTCAGGGATCAGTTCAACTGGCCTTCAGCCACACTTCGATTTCCCACGATCTCTAGTCAACCTGATTGGCAAGTTAATGTAGGTCCTCCGTCTCTTTATGAAGTTGAAAAAGCCATAGGAAATCTGAAACGAGGGAGAGCAGCAGGCCCTGACAGGTTTACTCCTGAGATTTTTAAGGATGGTGGTTCAGTATTAGCAGTGAGATTAACTGAGGTCTTAGGTAGAATTTGGGAACTGGACGTAATCCCATCTGACTGGTATCAATCACTGATTGTGCCAGTTTTTAAGAAAGGACAAAAGTCCTCTTGTGACAATCACAGAGGAATCAGTTTGACTAATAGTGTCTAAAGTATTAGCTTCAATAATACTTCGACACCTAACCAAAACTCGTGAAGAGCAGACTAGAGAAAATCAGGCTGGTTTTCGACCTGGACGTGGTTGTATAGACCAAATATTCACACTACGTCAGGTCCTAGAACACAGACACACGTTTAGACGCCCCACAATGGTAGTATTTCTCGACCTTAAAGCGGCATTCGACTCTGTCGATCGTAAGGTTCTATGGCAATGTTTGTCACTGAAAGGAGTACCAAAGAACTACATTAACCTTATTCAGGCTCTCTACTCGAACACAACTGGTAGAGTGAGAGCTTATGGCGAACTGTCATCAGAATTGATTACCTCAAGTGGTGTTTGTCAGGGCTGTCCACTCTCTCCTTTCTTGTTCAACTTTGTCATTGACGTACTTTTAGAGATGACACTTTCCTCATCTAAATTTACAGGGGTTGAACTTCTACTAGGAGGTTCACTTGTTGACTTAGAATATGCAGATGACAGTTCTATTTGGTGAAGACGCTGACGAAATGCAGTCTTCTGACCACTATAAGCAACGATGCAAGCATGTTCGGGATGCGATTCTCTCCCTCGAAATGCAAAATGTTGCTTCAGGATTGGGTTGCATCGACACCCGAACTGATGATAGGGAGTGAAGTAATTGAGCGTGTCGACCGCTTCACTTATCTTGGGAGTCTCATCAGCCCTTGTGGTCTGGTGTGTGACGAAATCTCAGCACGGATACAAAAGGCTCGACTAGCTTTTGCTAACTTGCGTCATTTATGGCGTAGGCGAGATATCCGTCTATCAACCAAAGGACGTGTTTACTGCGCAGCAGTTCGTTCCGTCCTACTTTATGGCAGTGAAACACGGTCGGTAAGAGTAGAGGATATTCATAGGTTACTAGTATTCGATCATAGGTGTCTTCGAAATATTGCTCGTATATCCTGGGACCATCGAGTAAGTAATGCAGTCGTCAGGAAACGGGTACTAGGAAAGGATGGCAAATCAATTGATGAAGTGGTGAAACTTCATCAGTTCAAATGGCTGGGACGCGTGTTACGTATGCCCAACGACCGACTGCCTCGACGTGCGATGTTCAGTGGTATAGGAGTAGGTTGTAAGAAAGTTAGGGGCGGCCAGACCAAAACATGGCACAAGTCCATGAAGTCACTGACAAGTGGACTGAGTCATGTCGGTAGGTGTAGACTACCTGGTTGGGGACCGCGAGATGATAGCAACCGATGGTTAGAGACCCTGAATGACATGGCTCAAAATCGTTTGCAATGGCGCAGGTGCATCCACTCTTTGTGTTCTCCCAAATTTTGACCTCCTGATTCCCCCTTGTCTCTTTTTTTTCTCTTCCCAAGTTTATTTCACTGTATTATACTCTTTAAGTAACATCTCCAAACACTAATCTTTCCGATTATTTTTTATTTATTTATTTCAACACATAGATATTGGTACAAAGAGGCACCAAATACATATGCGCCACACAAATCTCATTCGATATGTGTGAGGGCTGTAATACTGCCCGGGTGCCCAGATCGAAGCAGGTATATTCTTATTACCTCTACCACTACGGGATTTGAATCGACCACTGCATCTCTGTGCTAATGTGGTGTGGCAACTCGAACTGATGTACGTACGTACGAAGTTTTACGTTGATACTGAGTGACTGTCCACAATGATCCGTAGAGTTGCGATTTGGTCTGTACACAATCTATCCTTACGGAATTCCGCCTGTTGTTCACGAAGTTGGGCGTCTACGCAGTCCTTCATCCTGTTTAACAATACCCTGTTGAAGACTTTTCCCGGTATTGAGAGAATAGTGATGCCCCTGTAGTTATCACAGTTGCTGAGATCGCCTTTCTTCGGTCTTTTGATCAGAAGTCCTTCTTTCCAGTCTTTTGGTACTTGTTCCTCATCCCAAATCTTATTGAAGAGAATGTGGAATATCCTTGCAGTTGCCGCTACGTCTGTTTTTAGTGCTTCTGCTGGAATGTTGTCTGATCCTGCTGCTTTGCCACTCTTGATTTGCCTGATGGCCATGCCGATTTCTTCAATTGTTGGTGGGTCAACATTTACTGGGAGGTCCGTGGGTGCTGCTTCGATGTTCGGTGAGTTCAATGGAGCTGGTCGATTCAAGAGTTCTTTGAAGTGTTCTACCCACCTGTTTTGTTGCTCTTCAATGTTGGTGATTACCTCGCCTTCCTTGCTTTTCACTGGTCGTTCTGGTTTGCGGTGATTTCCAGAGTTTCTTTGTCGTGTCATACAGTTGTCTCATGTTTCCTTCTCTTGCAGCCTTTACCGCCGTAATTATGTGTATAAACGAGATAAACATGTCTATGGATTCACTCGAAAAGGATGGTAGTACCTTATGATAAAGCATAGAAAAATTGGCAAATAGTTTCACTGTAGGAAGCCAACTGTAAGCTATATATTATCCAATGTCACAAGTTGTTCATGTTCGTTTCTGACGATAACTGAGGATACAATCGAACCACTTTGGCGTATAAAGATGACAAATTCAGACTGAATAATTCTATCCTAATAATGGAAACACTTCTTACAAAAGAAATTGATTAACTGAAAACTAGCGTTTATAAAAATTCAGCTCTGAAGTGAAATAAGTAGACATATTGAAACCAAGGCAATTAGTAATAATGACAATTTGTTTATTGACACCTTCACAGTGATGATATAGTTTGAACAGTCTTAGTAGGTTAACTCACACTAAATCTACTTAGATTTGTCTGAGTGTTACTTCATTAAATGGTTTAGTCGGAGTCAGAGTATTTAAGGAAGACATTTGGCACTGAATAACCTTATATTTCACCGCAAACCTTATCTCGAATGACTTAAAAAATTATTCACAATAGTATCTACAATTATATATTTAGAAAAAGTATTAGTCCTCTTCCATAGCTTCGTTAACAAGTGATTCGCCTTTATTTTCATATGGTTGCGGAATAAAGTAATACAAACCATCATCTAACTGTTTACAAACAACAAGAACTTCAGGATGGAGCGAAGTGCGCATCATACAACTATCTTTTTCTGTTAACTCTTCGACCCCCTCACCGTCTGTCCAAACTGCAAGCAGGCCAACGCGAAATTCGGAGATTTCAATTTGAAATAACTTCTGAAATACAAAATAATTCGAAAATAATAACTTATAAACGAATACAAAAAAAATTACAAACTACTAATTCAACAGTAGGGTGGTGTATATTTTGTACACATCTCGTAACACTGGTAATTATAAAAATGACAATTTCATCATAAGACGAAACAACAAGCATTATTCTGTACAATTTAAATGGATATACATACATAAACCCACAAGTATCAATAAAAACAGTTGAACAAATTTGACAAAAACTACAGCCATGTCCGGCTACTACAGATGCTGAGAAAAGTCGTCATTATGTGAAACATTACCATGAAATTAAAATGGTTATTTCGGGCTAAGATTTTTATTTCGAAAAGTTGAAGGAATTATGCAGCAGTCCGAAATCAGAGTCAATGGAGGTGCTGAAACAGTTTCCTTTTTAGTTACCAAAACAATAAAACATTGTATTGAAAATTGAACCTACCTAAGTCGCAATTACTAATATACATAATGTTGCTATCGTACGGTCATCACGTTATTTTTTAAAAGATGTCGATCCGTTTCAAGAAACATACTAGATTCACTAAAATACATTCGAATAAATCAATCTATTTATAGATTCAATTATTCTTCATAATAGATACCGAGTTTGTTTCGACAGGTGGTTGAGTAGTTTTCAGATCAACATGCGGGAAAATTAAGTCCTTCTATGGTGTGTGTAGCAGTATGTATGTATGTATCAGCAATCGAAAGTGGAGTGCCTAACGGCAGAAGATTGAGAAAATCGAAGAGGACGAGAACAGAGAGTGATCGTTATGGAAGCGAAAGAACAAAAAAGTCTGAGACATTTGATAGGTATTTTGCAAATGAAGTATTTACTGTATGGTTCCCAGATTTTATCAAGATATTCTGTAATGTTGTATTAAAATACATTCGGTTGTCCCCACTTGTGTTCTCGTTCACTACATTACTACAACGCCATTAAGCCGATGTCGAGAAAGATGTTAAGGTATGCAGTCTTTTGAAAATCATATCTCAAGGCGAAAAAATGTTTCCGGAATAGACAACGAAAAAGTGGGATCATTTTAGAATAGAAAGTGAAAACTGGGTGTCGTTACCTTCTATAACTAAATCTGATTTGATTAGACGAGACTCAAGTAGCTGAGTATGCACCATTTTGCCACCTTGAATTTAAGCACAGTAATCGTAAATCTCAGTAATGTTCTAGAAAGATTTGTTACTGACCATTTACTTGGGAAGACTAGTTTTAAGGAAATACTTAAAATTTCATTAACTGCACAATATACTACCACAATCATATTCAATTCGATCTTATTATCAATAAATTAATTGAAGTGATGATAAACCAGCAAAAACTAATGTTACAAACGTCACATTTTAGCGGAGACCAAGTAAATCAGTTTATAAATGACTGTCACCAATAAAACAAATCAGCAAAGACAATAACATACAAAGTAGCTTCCTAGTAATTCGGCAGACAAATCTATACAGTTGTCAATATGATCTTAATGCTTCAAGCACGCTTTCCTTCGTGGTTCTCTTACCTTTTAGTCACGCCACCACCAGCACTTATATAGCTACGCGCTTGCATGAACGTTTCAACTACTTCTATCTGGTAACTACCAAGAGTAAGTTCATGAACAGGTTTCTGTTAGTCTTGTAAAATTAATTCGCATTTAGAAAGTACACGCCATATCTTCGAACACTGATTGCCGACTGGCTAAGCGGAAATTACATTGTTTGAATAAAATCACACAGTAAGACAATATCATCCTTATACTCAAGGTTGAGAAGTTTTTCTCCAGGTAACAGCTCTACACCACCATTACCTACATCCACCAGAGCTGTTTCCAGAACGTCATAGATATCAAAGTTGGAGAGGAATGGTGAGCTTGAGGAACCCTGCCCAACCCCACTGCTTGAATGGAACAATTCAGTCAATTCGTTGGTTAAAAAGTCGCCAAAATATCTTTAAGAAGCGCAGGAATTCGTCTGGTGATTAGTAGTTCTTCATAAGTTGGAGCTCCTTGCAGACTTCTGCTTCGTCAGGTGGATCAGCCTTCATTGGCCATTTAGTGAAGGACAGTCTAAGCGATGTCATCGGGACATCAGACCAGTTGAATTTCTGCACGAAAAACTCTGTCCATCGTCCGATACGTCGATAAATGTCAGTGATTGATATCCCATCACCCTCAGACTGTTTGACTGACTCGGATGAGCTGAAAGAGCTTCTGACAGTTACCAGATGCAGCTGCTGCTTTTAATTCATTGACACGCTTCGACCACCAGGTTTCTAGGTCCTCGCCCAGGCTTTGATCAATTTTGTTATGTAACAGTCTACGTTTGTGGTTAAACTCGCGATCACCCGGAGTAGACCGATGGACTTCAGTGAATTGTAAGGAGCCTGAAGAAACGCAGTGCTCATAAGTGATACGTTTCGCGAAGCCGCAAGCGACTTTACTCGCCATTTTTATGGTGTCATGCAATTGCTGCCAATGCTCATCGGTATGTTTTGATGGGCTGACAAGTAGCCTTGAACCTAGCTCGGTTTGATATTTAGTTGAAGTAGAAGCTGCAACTAATTTGCTGATATCGACCCTTTCGGGACGATGAGTTTTTTGGTTACTGAAACTTAAAGTTCGCGCAAACACGACAATGATCAGATTCCAGATAGGTGCTCCAAAAGGAACGACAGTCTTGTATACAACCATGTCAGTGGTAACTGATCGCTGTGTAATCACTAAGTTCAGGTAGGTTTGAGATGCAAAAGGAGGACGCCAGGTAACACATCGGCGATGACTGTAACAGTAGGTAGTGTTAGCCAAAGTTAGGTTGTACTCTGCGCAAAGTCGCAGTAGACGGTCGCCGTTATCTAACCTGCGACCAACAAGTCCCCATTGGTCACCCAAACGACTCTCCTCTATGCCTAGACACCAGATATGCGAATTCAAGTCTCCGACTAGTACTACAATACCTATCGGACACACATTTTAGAACAGGTAACTGGTAATAAAACGCATCCGGGTCTTGGCATAGGCGGAGATAACAACTGAAACTACAAGTTTAACCTCAAACCAAATGGTAACGATGTAAAGCACTTGAAATATTTTAAAAATTAGTATTAGGTGACCATACTTAATACAAAAGCTAAAAAATGTGAACGACAAAGAACCTGTTGAAGAAAGTAAGTTTTATTGTAATTTACATACATCGAACATATTAAAAAAACTATTTAGTTTGAAAAGAAAAATATAGGTCTATGGTGCAAAACCAAATTAACTTAGTACTACGCTAAATGTACTTATTGAGTATTACTGACAACCAAAATGATTAGTATAAATCATTGTAAAGAGTTTATGGAGTGAAACCTATGGGTGAATGTACTTGTAAGTCTGACAAAATAACCGAAGGTTGTCGAACAAGAATATTAGTGTGCGATATCTGACGAATTTATTTTGTTATTTGAAAAAGTTCCGAATGAATAATGTGGAGCTGTATAAACACAACCGTTACTTACTAGAATACGACACTGTTCAGGTGAAAGTACATCCCCTCTGCGGCACACAAGATACTCTCTCTCCGAATGAACAACACCTTTGACTAGTTTAACAGGCATTCCTAACTGGCGCAAAACAGGCTCCATAGAGTGAGGAAATTTGGGCAACGGACCAGATGCAATCCAGACCTGAAAATAGACAGAATGTACACGAAGAAAATCTTGAGCAATCAGATGTACTAAATTGCAGTCATAGTTTAGGGATCAACAACGAATATCCAAATACACTATACTTCGTCAAATGTTGATAAAATTGCCTGTGATTATTTCGTAACGGAGAATAACCCACCAATACTATTGTGGCGTGTGCTACTTATATTGACATAAGCAATATATGATGTTAGTCGTGAACAGAATGTCTGGCAGCAGAAAGACAAGAGGACCGAACAGTAAAGAATAGAAATAGAATGCAATTTGTATGAAAATGCAGGAACAATGGAGTCCGAGTCATTTTGAAACAATTGATGGACATTTTGCAAATTAAGTATTTACTACATGATTGTTAGTTATTAACAAGTCCTGTAATTTTGTGTCAAATACATTAGATTGTCCCAACTTGTGTTCTGTTCACTACACTATCACGTAAACTCACGAACAGCTTATTTTAGCTAGGAATGAACATTGATCCTTAAATCATAGTAAGTAATCTCTGGTATTTTCGATAGAAATCAGTAACCGAAAAAAACAAAAATAGGGCAAAACTGTCTGAAGCACAACACAAGATTTTATTCTGAGTACGCTTAGAATTATTGTTTTGGAAGTGATTTCGGAGAAGTCATTCAAGTTTTTGGGAATTGGTTGAAGTTGTAAATGTTCATCGGTTGAAATGGTTGAAGCATGAATTACGTAGGCCTGGCTACAGTCTACCTTGGTAAGTGATGCTTACTAGTCCAGAAGTAGGTTGGAAGAAAGCTAGGAGGGAACAAATCAAAACGGTGCATCGATCTATTAAGTTATTAACTGTCGGTTTGAGCCGTATTGACCAATCTAGGCTACCTAGTTGAGGTCTGAGCGATAAAGACCACCAATATTGGTTGGAGACGTTAGGTGATACAGCTCAGAATCGTTCACATTAGCGCAGATGAGTTCATTATTTATCTTCCTCTCAATCTGTTTCTTGCATACATACGTTTTCAGTTTTTCGGACTAAATTTCAAAGGTTTAGTCTTTTTCTCTTAATTGATAACACATTACTTTGATTTCTTGTGCTACTTTCATCTTGTCGTGCTAACCCGGAGTGAGGATTTGGGCCGTTACATATCTGTGCTAGACTCCATGTTGGTATCTGTCTGTTTGATATAATATTTGTGAAATAACTTAGTTAGTTACAACGTAGGATCAGGCATATATATGCACTGGTCCGAGTTGTCATACCTCATTAGCATAAGATGAACACCGAATACATAGTAGTTAATTCAATGGTGGTAATATATAAAAGAAAGATTGTATATAAATATGTGGTACCTTGAAGCGGTGGTCGGGCTTGCCTATCGTGATGACCCAGCCGAGCTATATTGGCTGGAACATATGTTCATGTAGGTTCTACCATGCCAGGAAGGTCGATTGGTGAACGGTAAGACTAAAAGCAGCAACTCAAGGTCTGAGGGCGAAGTCTTACTGCTGACTGTAGAGAGGTGTGACAGCAGTAAGGTGTTTCCCTCGGACAACCAGCATGACAGCGATGCTGCCTTCCCACAAGGAGGAGTGGGGTTAGAAAAGGTCGACCCTAAAAATGTCACACCTCACCTTACCTCATGGATTTCCATCTCCGGCGGTAAGGCACTTTGAAGAACGGAGCCAACACATTAAAAACCTCCCACGAAAAAACCGTGCGCAACCGGCCTCAAGCAGTTGTCCCTTGGGCTCTGCGGTCACACTCCCAGGTTCTTAAGACCAACACTAATCCAATTTCATTTTCAGGTTCCTCAAGAAACACCCTTCCACGGTGTGGGCATCCGGGAAATGATATCAGCCCTCATACCCGTAACAGCGCACGAAACCAAGTTGGTCACATTCAAATCCTTCCTACACCTCCTAATGCCTCTCTTATTTCCACGACTAACCCTCCTCAAGTTTCTTTATCACCTCGCACCGCTAGGGCAAACGATTCGAGTACGCGGAACGCTATTCCTGGTCTCCTGAAACCATGCTCTAAACTACACGTTGGAGCTTTTAACGTCCGAACACTGTGCCGAATAGGACAACAGGCTTCCTTAGCTAGGACTTTAGAATCCCGCGCCATCGATGTGTGCTGCGTCTCCAAAACGCGCATAAAGGATCCGAGTAGCGTCTTTCATCTGACTTCACCATGCCAAAATAAAGAACCGACTCGATTCACACTTCGTGTATCTGGAAGCCCTGATTCTGCTTCCCGTAGATTCGCCGGCGTAGGCATAGCATTGAGTCCTAGGGCAGAACTAGCTCTCTTAGAGTGGATCCCAGTAGACAGTCGTTTGTGCGCTGTCCGACTGAACGGAACAGTAAGGATCCGAAACGATAGGGACACTCGTCGTTGCCTTTTCGTCGTCTCTGCCTATTCTCCCACTGACTGCAGCGCAGATGATGTAAAAGATGAGTTTTACAGAAACCTCTCCGACCTCCTCCTAACAGCTAGGCGCTTGGATGTAGTAATAGTGGCCGGTGACTTTAATGCTCAAGTAGGTAAACTAAGCGATAGGGAAAGACACCTGGGTGAATCTTATAGCATCACGGCTCAAAGAACAGATAATGGCGACCGTCTGTTGCAGCTATGCTCGGATAACCGCCTCTTTCTTGCAAATACTAACTTTAAGCATAAGGAAAAACATCTTTTAACATGGAGACCCCTTAATTCGTCCCAGCGTTGGATCCAAATAGATCACATCGCTATCAGCCACCGATGGAGGGGCTCGATAGAAGACTGTCGCTCATTCTAGAGCACATGCTTATATTCAGATCATGCTCTAGTGCGAGCGCGTATCTGTCTGCGCCTTACTGGACGTAGGAAAGACGCTGCAAGGAAACCTCTTAGGGCCCTACTCAATGATAGTCAAGCTAAGAGTATATTTCAGGAACAACTAGGAAAGCAGTTAGGCAGCCATGTATGTGATGCCCACCCCGAGGCAGCATGGAATAATATCCGTAAAGCTGTGGAAACAGCAGTGATATCTGCTAGTAAGGTGAACCACACGGTTAGGGAGAAACACTGGATCTCAGCAGCATCTATCGCACTGATAGATGCTCGGAAACTCATTCCACCTGGCTCTGAACATAATGAAGAGCGGAGTCAGCGTAAGCGTAAGCTGACAAAAAGTCTACGCAATGATCGTGAACAGTGGTGGGTAGCGAAAGCAAGAGAGATGGAAAAGACAGCGGCAATAGGTAATAGCAGACAATTGTTCAGACTTGTTAAGGAAACCGAATGTTAGCGAAACACTCTCAGAGAAAGATGGACATATTATACACTCTCAATCCAGGAGATCGGATCGATGGGCAGAACACTTCAGGGATCAGTTCAACTGGCCTTCAGCCACACTTCGATTTCCCACGATCTCTAGTCAACCTGATTGGCAAGTTAATGTAGGTCCTCTGTCTCTTTATGAAGTTGAAAAAGCCATAGGAAATCTGAAACGAGGGAGAGCAGCAGGCCCTGACAGATTTACTCCTGAGATTTTTAAGGATGGTGGTTCAGTATTAGCAGTGAGATTAACTGAGGTCTTAGGTAGAATTTGGGAACTGGACGTAATCCCATCTGACTGGTCTCAATCACTGATTGTGCCAGTTTTTAAGAAAGGACAAAAGTCCTCTTGTGACAATCACAGAGGAATCAGTTTGACTAATATAGTGTCTAAAGTATTAGCTTCAATAATACTTCGACACCTAACCAAAACTCGTGAAGAGCAGACTAGAGAAAATCAGGCTGGTTTTCGACCTGGACGTGGTTGTATAGACCAAATATTCACACTACGTCAGGTCCTAGAACACAGACACACGTTTAGACGCCCCACAATGGTAGTATTTCTCGACCTTAAGGCGGCATTCGACTCTGTCGATCGTAAGGTTCTATGGCAATGTTTGTCACTGAAAGGAGTACCAAAGAACTACATTAACCTTATTCAGGCTCTCTACTCGAACACAACTGGTAGAGTGAGAGCTTATGGCGAACTGTCATCAGAATTGATTACCTCAAGTGGTGTTTGTCAGGGCTGTCCACTCTCTCCTTTCTTGTTCAACTTTGTCATTGACGTACTTTTAGAGATGACACTTTCCTCATCTAAATTTACAGGGGTTGAACTTCTACTAGGAGGTTCACTTGTTGACTTAGAATATGCAGATGACAGTTCTATTTGGTGAAGACGCTGACGAAATGCAGTCTTCTGACCACTATAAGCAACGATGCAAGCATGTTCGGGATGCGATTCTCTCCCTCGAAATGCAAAATGTTGCTTCAGGATTGGGTTGCATCGACACCCGAACTGATGATAGGGAGTGAAGTAATTGAGCGTGTCGACCGCTTCACTTATCTTGGGAGTCTCATCAGCCCTTGTGGTCTGGTGTGTGACGAAATCTCAGCACGGATACAAAAGGCTCGACTAGCTTTTGCTAACTTGCGTCATTTATGGCGTAGGCGAGATATCCGTCTATCAACCAAAGGACGTGTTTACTGCGCAGCAGTTCGTTCCGTCCTACTTTATGGCAGTGAAACACGGTCGGTAAGAGTAGAGGATATTCATAGGCTACTAGTATTCGATCATAGGTGTCTTCGAAATATTGCTCGTATATCCTGGGACCATCGAGTAAGTAATGCAGTCGTCAGGAAACGGGTACTAGGAAAGGATGGCAAATCAATTGATGAAGTGGTGAAACTTCATCAGTTCAAATGGCTGGGACGCGTGTTACGTATGCCCAACGACCGACTGCCTCGACGTGCGATGTTCAGTGGTATAGGAGTAGGTTGTAAGAAAGTTAGGGGCGGCCAGACCAAAACATGGCACAAGTCCATGAAGTCACTGACAAGTGGACTGAGTCATGTCGGTAGGTGTAGACTACCTGGTTGGGGACCGCGAGATGATAGCAACCGATGGTTAGAGACCTTGAATGACATGGCTCAAAATCGTTTGCAATGGCGCAGGTGCATCCACTCTTTATGTTCTCCCAAATTTTGACCTCCTGATTCCCCCTTGTCTCTTTTTTTTCTCTTCCCAAGTTTATTTCACTGTATTATACTCTTTAAGTAACATCTCCAAACACTAATCTTTCCGATTATTTTTTATTTATTTATTTCAACACATAGATATTGGTACAAAGAGGCACCAAATACATATGCGCCACACAAATCTCATTCGATATGTGTGAGGGCTGTAATACTGCCCGGGTGCCCAGATCGAAGCAGGTATATTCTTATTACCTCTACCACTACGGGATTTGAATCGACCACTGCATCTCTGTGCTAATGTGGTGTGGCAACTCGAACTGATGTACGTACGTACGAAGTTCTACGTTGTTACTAACTGACTGACAGGAAGAAAGAATTAGTTAGTAGAAAGAATAACTCAAAAGCCCACTTCAATCCTTAACTAGGGCTTGTGAACAACAAACCTGAGAAAACCAGACTAGTTTCAGATCTGGATATGGGAATGGCGATCAAATACCTACCCATCGTCGGGTCATAGAACCGAGGTGTGCATACCTATATCTAACTATAGTCGTATTTCTTGATGTTAAGGGAGTATTCGACGTTTTTGGTCGTGTTTTACGAGTGTTTGTCACTGAAAAACGTACCAAAGAAATGAACCAACCTTGTACAGACTCTCTGCAACTGATAGAACTAGAGCTTATGGAGAACCACAATCACAATTGCCGGCTTTAAGGTGTCGATTAGGGTTTTGCATTTTCTCAATTTTTATTTAACTTCAGAACTTTTTAGAGACAATGCATCCGACCTCTGCCTGGTCTAGGATTCATCTTCCACCAAAGGATACACTGACTATTCAGATGACATAGTAATCTGTCGACGACGCTAACAAAATACAATCTCCTAATGACCCTAATCAACAATCCAGGCATGCTTAGAATGGGATTTCCTCCCTTAAAGTGCGAAATTTCGCTTTAGGACTGGCCTACACCAATGAGTGAATTAATGATAGGGAATGAAGCAGTTGAGTGTGCTGACCGCTTCACACATCTTGGAGTCTTCATTAGCCCTGACGTACTGGTATCTGACATAATTTCAACACGGATTCAGTAGGTACGGTTGGCGTTTGCCGACTTATTTCATCTGTATAACAGACACAATTTCTATCTTCCAACAAGAGGATGACTATACTATACTATACTCATTTTATAATGAGTATATCATGGGACCATCGAGTAAGTAATGCAGTCGTCAGGAAACGGGTACTAGGAAAGGATGGCAAATCAATTGATGAAGTGGTGAAACTTCATCAGTTCAAATGGCTGGGACGCGTGTTACGTATGCCCAACGACCGACTGCCTCGACGTGCGATGTTCAGTGGTATAGGAGTAGGTTGTAAGAAAGTTAGGGGCGGCCAGACCAAAACATGGCACAAGTCCATGAAGTCACTGACAAGTGGACTGAGTCATGTCGGTAGGTGTAGACTACCTGGTTGGGGACCGCGAGATGATAGCAACCGATGGTTAGAGACCCTGAATGACATGGCTCAAAATCGTTTGCAATGGCGCAGGTGCATCCACTCTTTGTGTTCTCCCAAATTTTAATCTTCTGAATTCTTCATGTCCCTTTTTTCCTCTTTCCAAATTTATTTCACTGAATTATACTCTTTAAATAACATCTCCAAACCCTAATCTTCCCGATCACTGCTTACACACTTGCTACCTCTACCACTACGGGATTTGGATCGACAACTGCATCTCTGTGTTAAGGTGGTGTGGCAACTCGAACTGATGTACGTACGTACGAAGTTCTACGTTGTTACTGACTGACTGACTCATTTTATAACTGTGATAAGGCCATTAGTAATAAAGTGTTCGTAAACCACTAGTTTTTGATCATAGCTTTTTCCAAAGAATTATTCATTGTTAGCGCCGAGCGAGAAATGTTATTACACGCGCAGTACGGGGTAAAGACGGTAGAATGGTTGGTGAAATAATGAATAATCATCAACTGAAGTGGTTGGGACATGTTCTACTTACGTATAATCACCACCTGACATATAATATTTACTGGTGTATGAGCAGATTGGAAAGAAACTAGGGTCAGACAAACAAAAACAAGACACCAGTCTACGGAGTCACTGGAAAGTGGATTGAACCATATTAATAAGCACAGATCACTTATCTGGGGTCCGCACTAATTATAGATGGGTAATATGACTCAGTCGTGTTGTGAGTGCTAGTGGTGGATTGACAGATAAAACCAACTCATGTATAACGAAAACCAAAAAGGAACATGGGGATCTGGGTCATCCATGGTGCTGTTTTAATGCTGGCCAGGCACTAAGAATTCTGGTTGGAAACACATCGGTGAGAGGAGCATTGCTCTATAGTTATGAAACTTGGCCTCCGAGTCGAAGATGATCGATGACTTTCTTTGTTTAATCATCTTTGTTATGGAGGAATTGTTGACATACGTTGGTAGCAACATACAAGTAATCCTGAGGTTTGGCAATGAGTGCTTAGGGACGGTGAAGATAACCCAGTTGGTATCATCATCTTGAAACACTGGCTTCAGTGACTCGGACATATGTTACGAATATCATTTCAGCGGATTCCACTTTGTGCATTATTTGCAGACGTTGGAACTGGGTGGAAAAACTGGGGTTGGTAGGTTTGATATGAGACAGGGCAGAAGATTGTAATATATGGTCTGTCACGACAAGTGTTTAGGAACCTGGATAAGGACTACAGAATTGCACAAGCATATGTCTCTAGAATAGATGACCAGGTGAATGAAGGTACTTTTACAATAATATTACAGGTTCAGCTTCGTGAGAAAGTTAATCCTACTGAAATCATGGGAGGCAGACGGAAATTTAAGTGAATATGCTATTCTCACAAAATAACGAAGAGGAATATGCGAGATATTTCACTTATATGTAATCAACTATTAAATAAATACGAAAAAGATGAGTGCGACTGACCTACACAAGTTATAAAATGAATTTCTTGCCATCTTAATCCAAGAAAATAGTATTTTGGGCCGAAAACTAACTTCTTTAGATCATGTAAATTATCGTTTTTGAGAAATTACCTCTTTGAACTTCTAACTACCATTACTCTGTTATTCTCAAATAAGATTTGGTAGTGTTCAGATAGGCATGGAGCCTGAAGGGGCTGACAGTTTTTTTCGTCACATGAGTTTACACATGATTGCCATCTTTGATATCCACCGTCTTGTGAAACTGAAGATTCAGAGAACAGTTGAAAGCACAGTTTCGTGTACGATCTATTAAAAACATAAATGAGCGGTTTGAAGTCACCCTAGTAACAAGTAAGATCAGAGTTATGATGGCACTCGATCGCTTAAATCAAATTATTTCAGCCCTGAAAGTAACCACTTTGTTTTCTCAACGAGTTATGAAGTTTGTTAGGATTCGAGTTTAGAAAATGTATTAGTTAGACCACCTGGAACAGACCACCTTTAAGGGTCTGTCAGTCAAGCAAATACCACCGATGATTTATATACGAGATAATCTGCTCGAGATCACTCCGCTTACTGTGGAGCACTTAGATAACACTCACTCGTTCAAAGTGACATTATTGGACTAGATGCAATAAATTTAGAAAAAGAAAAACACAACAGTGGAATCATGGGAATGACGACCCGAATTTCTCTGTAGAAATCTTTACGAGTCAACACTTCTTAGGACATATTACATCGTTTTAAAGGACAAATACTTCAGCGGAATAAAATGGAGATTAACATTACCGATTAATTCTTGAACTACAATTGTGGGTTACATTTAATTAGGTTTTTTAATTGCAGGTTCACATGATATATGGCATTACGAACTAGGTCAATGAAGAAATATTAAAACTCACAGTCTGTTCAGCAAGTACACCTGGTCTACTGTATTCTGACGACCGGAACGCATCAAGCTGCTCGCGTAATTCTGAAGGCGATGATCGCGAAAATAGGAGGGCACATTGTCCCTTCAGATATTTGGATAAAAGGTGCAATTTCGGTCGATAACTATCTTCATGAGTTTTACCCAACGCCAAAGTCGTCACCTTGTTGACACCAAATAGAAGCCTAAACAGTATATCATATAAATCAGGAATAACTTGATTTTCACCATGCTCTTTCGTATTTCGGAAACTTTTTGGGTGCGAGGATTTTGCAGAGTCACTACATATACTCTTCCATATTCATCCAGATATTGACGAACCTTAAAGCTGCATAAGATTACCACCAATTAACTACCTTTGCAATGTGCTCTTTTTTCTTAGGAGCATGTTTTAGAACCTGAGTAAGTTCGACTGAAAAGGACTGGATGCAAAGAACGTTCTGAGCTTACCTTTCTTGTCACGCCTTGAAACGGGCATTTTGGTCGATCCGCCTTTGTCGATGTTCAGTTTTTTTACTCAGAAGTCAGATTCAGATTTTTTACTTGGGTAGTAAGGACAGAAGGCCTACGGCCTATGATATTCTTTTTTGGTATGCTTCTGTGAATGAGGTGCAGAAACCACTGCTTCGAGTAACAGGTTCCCACAATTAACGACTCGTTGTAAAAGCCTGTATGCCATGAATATTTTGTTCGCTTTTGCTTTTTATATTCGCCTGCTATGTCCCCTAATATGTCCTGATCTAGTGGAAAGAAAAAGAGAGGAAATACTAGTTTCAGAATCATTTCTTAGCATTGTAGTAGTAAATAAATCCCTAAAATAAATAGCTAAGTCTTCGACATTGGATGCTGACCACATAATAATTTTAATGAACTCACCTAGATAAAGGCGCTCGGTCATGCATCTGCAGTAGATCACGAGTGGTAATGCCGTGCTCAACTTAACCTACAATCGTTAGCCAGTTTAGACCAGTCGATTCTCAATATATTGATAACCTATAAAATATATCTTCGAACCTCCTCGTTTCTGACTCTTGATTTCACTAGGTGGGAACGATTCATAATGGAAGGTATTACTGGTTAAAGCTTTGTCACGCCCCAAATATCTGTGACATCTTCAGTATTTTATACATCAAAATCAGATTACCTCTTAATTTGTGATAGGACAAAGTAAATAGGCCTAGGTTTTCAGGTCGTTCTTTGCATCGTAAACCACAGAGTTTTAGAGTTGCATGAGTAGCTGCCCTCTGCACTTTTCCTAGGATATCCGAGTCACATTTAAAACATGGGCTTACAGATTGTACGCAGTTTACAATCTTAGTTCTCACTAAGATTTTGTATACTGTAATGAACATGGTAGTATCTAGTTTGATGGGTGTGCGTCTTAGAGCCAATAGGGTTCTAAACCCCTTGGCCTCAACCTCCCGGCATTAGGCCATGGTCCACTGATTTCCCAATGTTCAGAGTCTATAATGAGGTTTTCTCTGCAAGACAAACCTTTTCTGAAAGCATGTTGTTTTCTGTTTCACAAGTTGGTGATTCCCACGAATGTCATTATGGCCTTGTTGACTATTCCAGCGTTTTAATTATGACAATGGTGAGGCTGACAGGTCTGTAGTTTGATGAAAGTTGTCTTGGTCCTGTTTTATGTAGTGGAGTGACGATTGCATTCCAGTCCGTAGGTAACACACTTTGGTCAAGTGACATTAAATATCACAGTTGGTGGTGCCGCAATATATTGTGAAATTCGTCTCACGTTTTTGGAGTGAAGTTCATCTAGTCCTGTTGACTTTTCCGTGTCTAAGGTCCTAAGAGCTTTAAGTATATCGTCTTGATAAAAGTCCACAGTGAACAGACGGTTTGTTGACTTTGTATTAGGATCTAGTTCTTCGTTTACAAGAGGCTGCTGCGGCAAAAATGCCCCGATATATATTGCCATAGACTCTGCTTTTTATGATCATCCTATATAATCTCTGGTTCACTCTCTTAACTAGGTTGAAAATCCAATGCTGCATCCCTGTTCTACGACAGATTGTTAAAAAATCTACCAAACATCATGAAGTCTAGGATGACTAGCCCAGAATAATCAGTTGCGTGTCATGAAATGGCTCATAAAAGTGTGACCGCGCTGTGTTCCGACAGTCTGTTCTAAATAATTCACTTCTCCAATAAAACCATATTTGTTATATGCGGTCATTAGGGTTATCGCAGAACTGGGATACTGCTACGGTAATCCACGTTAGACAATAATCACACAGAATGACCTCGATATAAACTAAGAGGCAAAGCCATTCCCATGCAATCCGAATAGACCTTGTGTGGTGTTTGCAAGAACCAATGACTCTTTTGTACTCGATTTGTTCTTGATTTTGAATTCCAAATACAGTACGTTCGTTTGTTCTCACCTTGTTCTTTTTGGTCGCAATTGCACTATTTTAGGGATTCCTGGTTCTTGCAATAGTTCAAGTACTCCTACTTATCACACCCTAATCATCGACACAAACTACTTACATTGGTGAACCATATATAATATACCATTCGAATCATTTCAGCAGTCCAGTGATGGAAAAAGCATATAGAAGATTTTTAGCGCAACTTGAATGTTATGTCGTAACATTTACGGTATGTATGCATAATATTGCAGTTCCGAGCCACGTTACAATTATCTTGTCCAAAAATATCACATGTTACATTTAGTTAAGGATGTTGAGAAATGCGGGAGCGCTAAACAATTACGGTAGGAAACAATTAAAAGAATAGAATGGTAAGCATGAAGAACTCGATCCAGTTACTGAGGATAGAAATAGTTGTAACGGAATGTGAACGATGAAAATCCCTTCACAGTATTTTTGTTGGACAGTACTGTCATTTATTTGTTTCTTCTTCCTGTCGTGTATTTTAACCTTTGTTCAGATCTCGTTTAACCACACCTTTGGTTCTTCAGTCTTCCTCGTCTGAGCCTTTATTATGTATAGCACAAACTGTACCGGTTGAGGTACTTTGTATTTTTGATATAATTTGTTCTATTTCCTAAAATAGGACCGTTTAAATTGAGCACGAAGTTTGTGTTTTGATATAATTTAATACAAGTGTCTCAAAAACGCTACGTACGCCGTACAGAAGAACGTAGTCAGACCTATTCGAATAAATTTTGGCTCGTCAGTCCTGCGTTCAAACCGAATATTAGCAGTTGGGTAGTTACAATCGTGTTTGTAAATTTTTGGTTCATCTGTTTCTTGATGTTCAGTTTCAGTGCAATACCTAATATTTTATTCTGTCAATCTAGTGAATACATTTTGAATCCAGTTGTTTAAGATTAGATGGAGACTCAATTTAACTTTTAACTATCTAGCAATTTAAGATGTGGTACATAAACCTGTTCACAGAGGGCATGCGCAGATGATATTAGTTAATTGTTGTTACGTGTGAGTGACTGCAGGTTTTGATAAAGCAGCGTTTATATCGATCGATCGGTTACAGTGACACGTAAATACGTACGGACGACCTAGTGCCCTGATTGGCCCTGCTTCTCTGTCTACCCCAGCCAGTTGAGTCCAGAACAAAGCCACAGCCTCTGAGATATGAATCATTATATTTCAAACACACTCTGTTTATATACTAACTAAGCATACCACATCGTACCATAAAAATAGGAAACAACATTTACACAATATTAAACAACTGAAGCAAATATCGACCAATAGGAAATGTACATTTAATGTCCAAGGACACCATTCGACTTGACACGATAATTATTGGCAGATTCCTCTGCATACCTAACACCTCCCCCTCTTTTTTGAGGATCCGGAGTTGATATCCGGATTTTAAAATTTTCTGCGTCCGTCCTCCCCCGCGGAATAATGTTGGGTCCTCATGTACCCAAGTAACAGTTAGTCTGATTCTATTTAAAGCATATTTCGCGCATTGAGTAGAGGGATCACTAAAACTGACTAGATGATGAGGATTGGCGACACCAGACATGAGGTCATTAAGGTTTGATTCTTGTGAAACATATTCACCAGAACTCTTCAAGATTCCATCAGTGGATAATAGGTCACTAAAATAAACAGCTTCCTTGAAATTTGTATTAGATTCCTGACCATTATTTGATGCATGATACACATTTTCTGGCACGAGTTCTTCTTGTGAGCTGTATACCTCACATGTTTCGGGCACAATGGGATTTGAACTCACGACAGGACATGCTTCTGAACTGGACATTTCTGAATCGCTGGACGGATCATGAGCGACTGCCTCGTTTGCATTGCTGCTCGTTAAGGATTCATAGAGGCTTTTGTTTTCATATTCATACCTCCTGCAGTCGTTCTCGAGTTCAGTATGCAGCTGAGAAATTAATTCATCAATTTCTTTCACATCTCCAAAACACGGGAGATTAAGCAGTCGCGTGCGTAAATTGTCCAAAACATTCAACTGGCACTGTCTGAAACGCTGATGCTGGCGGTCAAGTAGTAGCTGCAATTGATCGGGAAGTATATTCATTTTCTGAGGTAGCAGGGTAATGAGAAATACTGTGACCAATTAATAACAAATGACTTCCAAGAACACTGATAATAAATTCGGACGCTGATTGGTCAAAATAATTAGCTGAATCTCGTCCAATTAGAGGGTTCCAAATTTTTTCTACCCCATCGCCAATTGTTGTTACGTGTGAGTGACTGCAGGTTTTGATAAAGCAGCGTTTATATCGATCGATCGGTTACAGTGACACGTAAATACGTACGGACGACCTAGTGCCCTGATTGGCCCTGCTTCTCTGTCTACCCCAGCCAGTTGAGTCCAGAACAAAGCCACAGCCTCTGAGATATGAATCATTATATTTCAAACACACTCTGTTTATATACTAACTAAGCATACCACATCGTACCATAAAAATAGGAAACAACATTTACACAATATTAAACAACTGAAGCAAATATCGACCAATAGGAAATGTACATTTAATGTCCAAGGACACCATTCGACTTGACACGATAATTATTGGCAGATTCCTCTGCATACCTAACATTAACATGTAGCGTGGTGTCGAGTTCCGGTTGACTATGAACACCACTACAAAGGAACGCGCGTCAGGATATCCATAAAACCCCCGGAAGCCAAATATCAGAAGCCAGTTAATGGACCAAGTCGAGATATATTTGCTGGCGATCTCGTGGTATCGAAAGAATACCGAGATTGTTCCAGGATACAATCTTGGTTACTAAGCGTAACCGGATTCGCGCGAGGTCACAATCGAAGTAAGTACAATGGATGTTTTCTTCGCACAGTTAAATAAAGAGCACATTAAAACAGTCACTGGTACAATTGGTTATAGTAATAATTGTTTTCACTAAACAAATCGTGTTCTCGTAATAAAAGTAAGTCACTATAGAAACCCCCTGCTTGAAAGGGTTTACACTTTCTATAAGTAGCGGTTTCATTCGTAGGACTGATCGGCTGACGAATTGGCGGAACAGGAATCGATCGTTGATCGTCCAGTTGCCAACGAAGGTCTTTTTCGGAGAAGGGTACTGGGAGCGCTGTGCTGTATTTGTTGCTCAAGTTGGCATACCACACCAGAGTGGTTTGTATCCAGAATCTGAAGATTGCGTTGGTAGGGATGTGGACCAGAAACGCTGCAGACGTGGGACGAAACCACGTTGAGCCAAGAAACCAGAAGCTACCATAACGACCAGGTTCCAGACCAAATATATTCCAAACATTCGAAACCAAAATATCGACTGAGTGCGTTGACAAGAGTGTGGGTGGTCAGTCCAGCTTTCGCCAAAGTTGACCGAAGTTGATGGCACCAAACGGGAATGGTCAGAGGCGTGGGCTCACATTTTCTCGCCGTTACATTTTGACAACCAAGCAGATCCATGCCCTAGTGGAGGGTTGTGTGTTACTTCCGTTATCACTTTAAGACGTCTTAGATGACACTTTTCGTCCTCTATTTTCTCGGTTTGGTTCCAGATTTAATCTCAGCTGCTATTAATGAATCGAGCGGAAGTTGTTTCTCTTTTTCTTTGCATTTGTGTCACGAACGTCAATTCATGTGACCTGGGTTGAAAGATTAATTGATTTCCATCATAGAGACAAAGTGGAGAGTTCGTTGTTTTGTAGTTTTCTAAATTACGAACACCATGAACATATTATCCATCATTTCAAAAGTTATTTGTTGGTTTTTCACAACATTGTATCGTATTACTATTGCAATCACCACGCATATTTTTACATGAGCTCGTTTTCGAGACAACGGTTATTGATACTTTCGTTTCAGAATAGGTTACTCTTGTCTCACTAACTTATTAGTCGCTCGTGAAAGCTGGATCGCTCTTAAGGACCAAAAGTCACCTGTAGACGTAGCCTTCATTGAACTCAGTAAAGTTTTTGACAAAGTTCCGCACACCCAGCTGTTATATAAGTTAAGAAATGTCAGGATTGGAGGCAATCTATTTATGTGGATAAGAGACTTATTAGTTGGGCGTCAACAAAGAGTACGGGTGAACTCAAAGTTATCTAGCTGGGTAACTGTGCTTAGTGGAGTGCCCCAGGGTACAGTTTTGGAGCCAGCGCTATTCCTCTTGTATGTAAATGACCTTCCTCGTCTCCTATCATCATCGGTCTTGCTATATGCTGACGATGTCAAGATATGGAGAACGATACGATGTAAGAGTGATAGCTTAGAAATCCAAAATGACCTGAAGAAATTATCTGAATGGTCTCAAACCTGGCAGTTGCCGATAAATACTTCCAAGTTTGTTGTGGTGCATATCAGTCATCAAGGTACAGATACATACACGATGAATAACACTGAGCTACCTGTCGTCCAGATATATAATGACTTAGGAGTCATCGTTAGCCAAGACTTAAAGACTACTGCACACTGCCGTGCAGTAGCCGCCAAAGGTTTTAGAACCTTATAGTCAATACGTAGGGCTTTTAGTCATGTCGACGCTAAGACGTTTTTGACTTTGTATACAGTGTTCGTACGTTCTAAACTTGAGTATTGAATACAAGCGGCTAGCTCCTGCTTAAAAAAGGACAGTGAGCTTCTGGAAAAGGTTCAGAGAACAGAAACTAATCTGATTCCCGGAATAGCGGAGCTTCCGTATGATGCTCGACTGGCCAAGCTGAACCTTTTCCCGTCGTCATGTCATAGGACTAGAGGCGACTTGATTACAGTCTTCAAATTGCTTAGTGATGAATTTGCACCTTATATGCTCTCGTTTTTCTTGTCTTCCAAAACAGAGAATTTACGGGGACATTCCAAAAAAGTTCACAAGCCCAGAACAAATTATTTTTCAGATGACTACCGACTTTCCCTTCGAATCTCCAACGAGTGGGATTCATTAACTCAGCACGTGATTGAGGCTCCATCCGTCGATTATTTCAAAAGAAATTTGGATCAACTGAGGGACCACCATTGCCAGGACTAACATAGGCCATCGAGCCTTCTGTCCTTCTCAAACTGAAACTGAAACTGAATACCGTGGTTCCCAGTTTCAATCCATCCTATTCCAGGGTTTTACCAAACTTTTGAGATTATAGTACATCAAAACAACAGAGTACCATCCGGTAGATAGTGATCTGGTCAACAGAATGCACCGCCATTTGAAAAGCTCTCTGTTTGCACAAACTGATAAATCGAAGTGAAGTGATGCACTACCACTCGTAATGCTAGGAATCCGTTCAACTTTCAAAGATATAGGTTGCACATCCCCCGAAGTAGTTTATGGTAGAATTCTAACATTACCAGATCAACTAGTAGACCCAGACACAAAAATACCACCTGATCGAAATCGTTTTGTGTTCCGTCTACTGCAAACGATGTAAAATATCAGAGCAATACCGCCGCGAGAATATAACCGCGTACAACTTGACAAACGCCTTGAAACGTGTAAAATTGTCTTTGTTCGGATCGATGGCGTTAAAAAGCCATTGAAGCGATCTTACGAATGACCGTACCAAGTAATTAAACAAAAAAACAAACGGTTCATCATCAACACCATTTCCAGGACTAACACAAACCATCAAGCCTCCCGTCCTTCACGAACTGAAACTAAAACTGTTTGCAAATTTTGTTTTATTGATTGTTCTAGGCGCTTCTTTTCTCGTCTTTCTTTGATTTCGCACATTCATAACATTCCAATGTTCATAGGACAAAAAATGCCTCTAGATGACAAGTTTATCTTTTGTGAAGCATTTGATGACATACAGCCTGAAAAAGTAATATCACATAACATGCATAACTCGTTCTTACGTAGGGCTTCTTAAAAAATAAGTTAAATGGTTTTATTTGTTCTACTCAAACAGGCGTTACTGAAATAGAAACTAAAAACGAAATATTTTCATTTCCAACATTCCCTTCATCTGATCTCAAACCGTGTAACTGTGTTAAATCTCACTGTCTTAAACTTTACTGTGAATGCTTTGCTCGAGGAAGCTATTGTGATAACTGTAACTGTATAAACTGTATGAACAACCACTCACACGAAGAAGACCGTAGAAAAGCTTTCAAACGTACTTTGGGGAGAAATCCGTCTGCATTTCACCCAAAGACCGGTATGGTTGCTTCATTAGATGACTTACATTAGCTGATGAAGAACGTAGCTATTCTAAAGGATGTACGTGCAAGAAGTCTCAATGTTTGAAAAATTATTGCGACTGTTATGAGGTTTTTCTGTCACCATTTATTCGTTTATAATAATAGGCAAAAGTTAGGTGTTCTAATATGTGCCGGTGTCAAGGATGTCGAAACGTTGAAGATCGAATTCAACGACATTTACAATTACCGCCTGTTCATTCCATCAAAGAAAAGCCTCATTTGAGTAACAGGTAGGACTTTCCCATAGTGTTTTCTTATTTCTTCTAGATTAACTTGCATGGGCATTCAAGATCCAATGTACAATAAAAATAATCAAATTGAGCTACCACAAATTAACCAGGTTTTTGACCAGGCTTCACATCCATCTATGTTGAACCTGCCATGTGGTCATTTCTACAAAAATTCAATGTAAATCATATAATTTAAATAGCTTATACTTTAAAGCTTGTCTTCAAGGCTTTTTACACTTGAAGTCGTTGAAGCTGCATGTAGTTGCATCTTAGTTCAACTCAAAGAAGCCAAATACAAAAACTTCCCTCTGTTTATTCAGGAGAAGATCGTCATTGAAGAGTTTGGAAGATGCTTGATACAAATACTTGAATCGCTTACTGGGGTTTGTTTTATTTACTGATAAGCACTTAATGTCAATTTTTGCACAAAAGTTGACACTTTGCTCTGCTTTCTGATTTTTTATCTTTTGGTTGGTGCCATTAATCATGAAGTAGGATTTGACTTACCACATTATATTTAGTGGTTACATGGATTTTAGATTTAGAAATTATGTTTGACGTTCAAAACAATAAGGAATTCAACACAGATAAGGGAAGTATGAATTAATGTTTTGTGTCCAAACTGTCCTCACGCAATATATACAGAAAATAATAATTAACGTATTAGGGATGAAATTCGTGTTATCTCCAAATTGTTTGTTGCATTACGAGGTGATCAAATATTTCCTTGTAATAATGAGTGATGAAGAAGTTCGTTGGAAATTTGGGTAAAACACCGAGCTATATTTGTATTTGTAACTTTTTATGTGATACTAGAGGTTAATTCATATTGACAGCATATTTCTGCCAAGGTACGTCTCAGTATTCTTATATGTACTCTTGCCTAGTAGATTAGGTTCCGTATGCATTGGTAGTCACAAAACTAGTAAAAACGTCAATGACTTTTCACTACCACTTTGATCTAAATCTCAATGTTTTTAAGGGCTGTTGTAGGTAATTATTGTCAAATTAAGTACGGGTGATAAAGCTGACAGTTTGATTATGTTTATTATTTATTTATTATTATTTATTTGAACACGAATATTGGTACAAGAGAGCGCCAATATATATGCGCCACGCAAAACAATGAGAATTCGAAGAGAGATAGAAAAAAAACTAAGAAGCGCAAAAGAAAAAGAGAACACTAACGAAGAGATTGGTGTAAAGTAGTGTGGTAGTAATCAGGGAACGCAAAGGTACAATCGGAAGAAATCTTTCAGGTATTTTTTTTTTATTTCAACACATAGATAATGGTACAAAGAGGCACCAAATACATATGCGCCACACAAATCTCATCCGATATGTGTGAGGGCTGTGATACTGCCCGGGTGCCCAAACCGAAGCAGGTGGTTATCTTAGGGGGCCACACCCCGAGCCTTCAACCCAAAGGTCTGATCCACAAGGCAGTGAAGCATCGTAAGGAGATGCAGTCCCATGGAAGCCGGTGACCAACAATTGGTTCATTCGCCATTTGTTCCCGCAGGATACTGGAGCCCATGTGCACCATTGGTTTGGAATCCGGTTAAAGCGCCGGACATTCGCTTTTCGTCCTCTCATTTTCGTAAACAACACCCCCGCCACGAGAAGGCAGTGAGTAGGACTTCCCTGGCAGAGGGAGACACAACCACTTTTTATGAAGAAAGTAAAAGAAGGTTATAGCAGGATCGTCACTGGCTTCTATTCTGAGCCATATCTGATAACGTCTCTAGCCACTGTGTAGCACCATCTCTCAGACCCCAACCAGGTAGTCGTGAAGGACCGACAGAAGCCAGTCTTTTGCAGCTTTCTTTCATACCACGACACCATGTCATATACTGACCACCTCTCCGCTTTTTACAACCAGTCCCAGAGTCGGCAAATAATGCGCGACATGGAATTCTCTGGGACAACATTCGTAGAACATGTCCAAGCCACCGAAGTCGGTGTTTCAAGATGGTGACACCAATTGAATTATCATCTCTGTGCCCAAACACACGATGCCGAACCTCTGCATTACTGACATGGTGTTGCCACTGAATGTCAGCAATCCTTCGGAGACAGCGATGATCGAACACAGAGAGTCGTCTAACGTCCTCAACTCGGAGAGGCCAGGTTTCACAAGCATAGAGCAAAACTGCTCTCACCGACGCGTTGTAGTTCAGACCTTTTACAGCCAGACTAACATCACGAAGGCGCCAAAGATGGCCCAGATTGGCATAAGCCACTCTGGCTTTCACTATACGTGCATTGATCTCATCACTCACACCCCCACCAGCACTTATGCAGCTACCCAGATACACGAAATTCTCGACTACGTCTATCTGCTCACCATCCAGGGTGAGTACAGGATTAGAATCCTGCCAGTCTTGTAGAAGTACTTTGCACTTCGAAGGTGCAAAGCACATACCATACCTACGGACACTGATTGCCAACTGATTAAGTGCGGATTGCATGCCTTGGGTATTATCGCACAGTAAGACAATATCATCCGCATACTCAAGGTCGAGAAGTCTTTCTCCAGGCAACAGATCCACACCACCATTACTTACATTCATCAGAGCTGTTTCAAGAATGTCATCGATTGCAAAGTTGAAGAGGAATGGTGAGATTGGGAAACCCTGTATAACCCCACTGCTTGAATGGAACAATGGAGAGAGGTGGTTGTATGCCCTCATTCTGCCTGAGGTGTTTTTATATAGGGCTTTTGGGATGTTAATAAACTTCTCAGGCACACCCTTCTTCAATAGACAATCCCAGAGAACAGTCCTGTCCAACGAATCGAAGGCAGCCCTGATGTCAAGAAACACTACGATTGTTGGCCTTTGTTAAGCATGACGGTGTTCTAACATTTGGCGGAGGGTGATGATATGATCAATACATCCTCGACCAGAACGAAACCCAGCCTGCTCCTCGCGAGTCAGTCTTTCTCGGGTTTTGAACAACCTATGAAGTAAGACGGAAGCCAATAGCTTGGACGCAATCGGAAGTAGACTTATCCCCCGATAGTTGTTACAGGAACAACGTGAACCCTTTTTAAACATAGGGACAACTATCGACTCGTTCCATGACGTTGGTACACTCTCTAGTTCCCAAACCTTTGTAAACAACGTCGTCAATTCCTTAGTCAAAAAGTCACCACCATCTTTAAAAAGAGCCGGAGGTAAGTCATCTGGGCCAGGTGATTTGTAACGCTTCAAGAGTTGGAGTTCCTTGCGGACTTCCTCCTCGTTTGGTGGATCAGTCGTCACCGGCCATGGAGGGCAGGACAGTCTGACCGATGTTGCCGGAGCAGCAGGCCAGTTGAACTGCCCTTCTAAAAATTCTGTCCATCGTCCAAGACGTCGATGGATGTTAGTGATTGGCATCCCATCATCCTCGCAGATTGTTCCACTCACACCAGACTTCTTGCTGCCAGTGGCTCGGATGAGCTGGAAGAGCTTCCGGTAGTTACCAGATGCAGCTGCTGCTTCCAGCTCATTAGCACGCTCCGACCACCAGGCTTCTCGGTCCTTACGCAAGCTTTGCCCAATTTCATTACGTAACATCCTTCGTTTGCGGTCAAACTCACGGTCACCCGGAGTAGACCAACGGGCTTCAATGAGTTGTAAGGAACCAGAAGAAACCCAGTTCTTAAAAGCGGGACGTTTCGCAAACCCACAATTGACTGTACCCGCCATTTTCATGGCGTCATGCAATTGCAACCAATGCTCATCTATACTTTTCGGTGGAGTGGTAGCTAGCCTACAGGCTAGCTCGGTTCGATACTTATTAGCAACAGAAGTTGCAACCAGCCTTCTAATATCAATCCGTTGATGGCGGTCACTTCGTTGTCCACTGAAAAGTAAGGCAAGATTGGCGCAGACCAAGGCATGATAAGAGTCCAGATAGGTACTCCAAAAGGAGCGGCAGTCTTGTACACAACCACGCCAGCGGTAGCTGATCGCGATGTGATCAATCTGAGTCCAGGCTTGGGATGCAGAGGGAGGACGCCAGGTGGCACATCGGCGATGACTGTGCCGAAAGTTAGTGCTAGCCAGAAACAGGTTGTGGTTTGTGCACAGTTGCAGTAGACGGTCCTCGTTATCTAACCTGCGACCAACGAGTCCCCATCGGGCACCTAAACGACTCTGTTCTGTGCCTAGACGCCCGACCTGAGCATTCAAGTCTCCGGCTAGTACTACAATATCTGTCGAACGCACTTTCTGGAGAAGAACAGATAACTGGTGGTAAAACTCATCCTTGATTGCATCCGGGCTGCAATCTGTCGGGGCATAGGCGATGACGAAGAGACATCGTTTCTCACGCCGATTTCTTCTAACTTTGATGGAACTTTCCAATCTAACAGCACATAACCGACTGCTAATGGGGATTCAATCGACTAGTGCTGCCTCAGCTCTAGCGCTTAGTGCGACACCAACGCCAGCAAAACCAGACGAAGATGCCACAGGGTCCCCGGATAAGCGCACGTAAAACAAGCTTTTCGAAGCGACAGATGGAGATCGAATTTGTAGTACTTCGCCAGAGTCTTGAATACGGGTCTCGGATAGACAACAAACATCAATATTAAGACTTTCCAAAGACATAGCCAGCCCTATCTGTTGTCCGACCTGCACTAGTGTGTGAACGTTGAAGGCAGCCAGTTTGAATGGTGCACGTGGTTTCAGAAAAACTGCTTCAGTTCTCGTATTCGGTGTTAACATACAACTTTCAACCGGACAGAGACTCGAGAACGTTTAGATACAGTCGAATTTCCACCAAAGACGAGCCGCTGTATAGGTATAAAAGAGGGTGAATAATGTGGAAAATAATAATAATAATAGTGGTAATAATAATAATAGTATTAATAATGACAATAATTGTAATGATAATAATTTGAATCAATTCATTGTTTTTCGAAGCGAGAAAGGTAATTTCCATAGACATAAAGAGTTCATCATTTGTGTGTGGGCTGTGATACTTCCCGAGTGCCCAAACCGAAGCAGGTGATTATCTTAGGGGGCCACATCCCAAGCCTTTGACCTAATGGTCTAACCCACAAGGCAGTGGAGCATCGTAAGGAGATGTAATCCCATGGTAGCCGGTGACCAACGATTGGTTCATACGCCATTTGTTCCCGCAGGATACTGGAGCCCATGTGCACCATTGGTTTGGAATGATGGTTTTCCAGTTCCCCTAGATGGACTCTCCATGTCCACCAACCCGGTTAAAGCACCAGACATTCGCTTTTCGTCCTCTCATTTTCGTAAACAGCACCCCTGCCATGAGAAGGCAGTGAGTAGGGCTTCCCTGGCAGAGGCTGTATATGCGTGGCCGTGTGGGAGCATTTCTAGAGGGAGGGCGGACCCACCCCGCTCTCGGCCGTACCAGGGCATTCGGGGGGGGGCAATTATGTTTATTAGCATTTCTTTACTCCAGAGACAGAGTATTGTTGATGAACATAAATAATACGTGTTTCGAGACAACCGAGAGTCGGGCACAATAAAGTTCAGATTGATTTTTTCAAAATGTGACCATACTCCTCAATACACTAACCTATTTTTAATGAAGCCATCATAACGTTTGTCAGACGCCTACAAAATAAGATTTTCAGGTGAGTGAAAGAATCTGAAGATACTAAAAACTTGTCTAATTGCGAATAGAAATAAAATTTGAACAACTGATTTTTTCTACGTTACTATTGTAATGGCTATCGGTTACAGTACGAGTCCTTCATCTTCAGGATTTCAAAAAGGTATGATCTGATTAATATACTAGCGGCTCTTGTGTTAAGTTGTGACGAAAGGTGAGGCCACAAGATGTGTCTAGAGTCGGAGGCTTGCTGTTTAGCAACTGCAAGCTAATAACACATCTGGAAATACTGATATCGATCAGTAGGCAAAAACTGTTTGGGTTGTTTATAAGGAAAATATCATCACCTGAGATGGTTTCTGAACATAATGTGAGTTTTCTCGGCTATGCTTACAGGTTTCCTTAGTGACTATCTCCGTCTTTTTCATGAGATAATAAAGTTGAACTTATCGGATAAATAAATAAATAATATATTTGTAATATCCCAATGAGTAGAAAATTAGATTTTCTTACGTTTTGTGACTTAGTTTAAGTCACTTCTTCAGAGAATAAATAACCAAATTAAAATTAATCCAAGTTTAAATAGTACAACGGAGAAAAGTTAAAACAGATTCACTCAATTTATAGGTTATGTTTTTCCTCTATAATTTTGATAGATTTAACCTGATGTTTTCAAGCACGTCAAATATCTTTATACCAATAAGGTTTTTCACGTTTGCCATTTCAGCTACGAATTGCAAACAACTTACCCAATAATCCACTTCCGGAAATCTATAAACATAACTACAATCCAGATTTAATCACTTTATTGTCTTGTGCACAATCTGAGGTCTTTCAAGCGATAGATACAAATCATTCTGAATTTCATCAAAGTTTAAGTTGCGATTCTCAGTTGCACCAACCGACGCATTATTTAGACACTGAATACGGATCTGAAGCTGTTGAATGTGGTCAGAAATATTCTTTGTACAATGAAGGCCATGGATTTGGTAACGTAAAACACAGCGAATGCCTTCCCGCAATAACTGGGGAGTTTCATTTTGAAAGTGCTACAGATTTGCCGTTTTTTTACAGCCAACCTAACTATAGGTCTAAAAACTGCCCACTGAGTTTTTCAAAAGACTGTGATTTGAAGGACATTTCAAAGTATCAGTCAGAATCATCTCACCTCAATATACAGGATGTAAGTTAGTTAAAAGTAATTAGCAACCTTGGTGAACACATTTGATTTTATCGTGAGGCGGACTTAAAAGTTTTGCAGGTAGTTATTCAGTTCACACAGTGGGCCAAATTAGAGTTTTTGGAACCACTGATTTGCATTTATAAGCTAGTTTTAGTTCCCATATTATCTTAACGTTATTAGTGTTTGTAGAGGATTGAAATCCTCTCATTTAGTACAGTTTTACTTTTAAAAGACTCAATCAGTATCATTGATCTTGTTAATTGCCCTTGCTTTATGGCTTAAGGTATAGTTTTTATAAACGAGATATTAATGTTGTTTCAAGTTTAACATTACTTCGTTCCACTTAAGCAGTCATTGTTATTATTCCGTTTACATAAAAATCAGTTCGAAGACATTTGTATTGGTTTTTTGAATCTTCTTATTGATATTTAGGACTGCAGTCTATCAGCCGTTTCGAAGTATATGCATTCCGTACAGATCTCTTTAAAATTTCCGTTAAGACAAAAACGTAAGCAGAGTTTACTGTTGGTCGGAGGCTGACGAGTACCCAATAGGATTACAATGCTATCCACCACCAAACCCTGTTTAAAATGTTCGTCTAATTTTTTTCAGAGCATTTCTGTCTCACGTTTCTTTGTTATTTCAAGATTTTTATTGTAAAGTGTTAAGAGATAATTGGTCACCAGCAGATGAAATAGTATTCTTTGAACCAAAAGAAAGTGTAGCAGGAACCGAAAAATTCATGCGGATATTAAGAGGCTTACAAATATCATGCAAACATTATAGTATTTATAAGCACAAGGTTACGTTACAAACTTCCGTTGTTCTTTTAAAATATAATTCAGGACCTATTTTGGTGACTTTTGTCTTTCAGTAACAACGTTTAAAAACCTTAGTTACATCCTGTTTTAAAGAATTGTTATACTATTGGAATTGATTATTAACGAGAATAAATCTACATTTGTTTCTAAAGTGCTTATGATATAAGTTCTTTCAGCTCATATAATATAATTCCGTAACCACACAAGTCATATAGATATTTTAGTACTTATCGACAAATCCTTGCAGTTCTTAGTCTTTTAAACAACTGAAGAAACATTTCTCAATGTTTTATAGGTTCATCAAGGCTGCAGTAAAGCTGGAAATCCAACTGTTTTTCTGTCAGAATCTTGTGCTTTCTCAACAAACCCTTATTTTTCTAGGGATATAGATTCTCGTCTAGTGATTAATGACAAACCTCACATTCAGTCGTTTACGATGGAACCTATATTACATCCAAACATTCAATATATTGACAACATTGAAGAATTTGAATTAATAAATCCAATGGGAACAGTTTTGCAGGATTGTCCTAGTGGACATGAGCACTTAACAACTACGTATGAGGAGGATGAAACTTATGCAGCTACAACTGCTTTACTCAACTCTTCTCTACATTGTCCTCAAAATCCATTCATTTTGTCATCTGAAGTTAACTTCAGTGAAGCAGCTGAAACGAAAGAAAATTTTTTTTGGCATTCAGTTAATGTGCCTTCAGATACTATTATTAATGACAACTCTACCAAAAAAAATGCTTTGGGAAACATACATTAACCGTCAGCTGTTGAATCGGAGGAAGTTCAAGAAGCTAAATACGGTTTAAATTTTAGTCCGAAATTTGACGTTTATGATTTATAAGATATATTTCTTAGTTTAAATTCCCCTGAATTGAATTTACTGATTTACCTACTTATGAAATGCTTCATGGTCCCGGTTAATTTGAATTGTAACTAAATTTTGATTTCCTCGAAAAGATTTAAGTTACTTACCTCTTTGAACTAATATGCATAATTTTATTTTACCATTTAATTATTGTTTCTTTATTTGCTTATGAAGATACATTTGAATTCTCATATGCTTTAGGTGAATTTAAGAATCGTTAGACATAGTTTATAACGTTATTAGTTTGAATGAATTCTAAAAAAATGTTTGTAAAAATCACAAAAAATGTGCTAAACATTTTGTTTTTTCGGCTAAAAATAACCAAATCAAACTAAAATCTACCACAATTATGTACTGGTTTAATTTATTAAGAGAATAACTTGTCACAGCAAACTAAAAAGAGGATTATCGGAGACGGAAATGATGAATTTTCAAACAAATAAGTGCTTCAAAATAAAATAAGAACTGATTACATTATTATTACAGAAATTGATTTAAAATGACACCAACCTTGGTATTCTAACATACTATTTAAACATATTTTCATGAATTTTGACTTAGAAGTGCAATTCCTTCTACAACTGGAATCACCATTCCTCGAACCCGTGTATGAAGTAATGAACCATAATCTGGTTACTGCTTGTTTTTCCCCTACTTTTATAGTTGTGTATTTTTCAACACCCGACTATATCAAAATGTGATTCTACTGATGCAAACTTTCTATTACTTCACAGTTTATTCAAATATGTTTTATTTGTAAACAAAGAATTGGAGGGTAATACTTTCGGAAGATAATGTGATGCAACCCAAATAGAATTTTTATAGTTTTAGCTATACTACAACTGAAAACTTTAAAGCACTGGGTGATCGGTTCGTCTTATCACAGGACTCCTCAGCAATGATTTTGTTCAGAGAAAAGAGATTTAATTGTAACCCTTCAAACTTGTCCATGGTAAGGTTTTTCAAAACAGTTCTAAGTTTGTCACCCATGGTACGTAAATTTAAAAATAGGCGTTTTATTTATTAAATTTAGCTATCTGGTTAAAACGTTAGTTCTAGGCAATACAAACATTTTGTGCGTTATTTTTAACTAGAGCATTAAATTAGATCAAGATACATTTAGTTTTGAACATGCAAATTTTGTTTTCTCTGAACTTCATTATACTAAATATACATTCAAAGCATTAAACAATACTCTCTTATACATGAAAATAAAGCTAACAGGTACCTTTAAGTACTACTATTTTGTGGTGCCAAATCAATTTTTTCTGGTAATTAAAAAATATTGTTATTTTTAGAATGTTATTGGGGTCCTCTGTATGATATGAAGTTAACTGAAAACAAATACGTAGGAAGGTATGTGTATTGATACAGAATAAGTGATATTTTTCTCTAATCATTAAAATAAGCTAAACGTAAAGTGTTACTGTCCATTGATACATCAAAACGATTTTATAATAAAGTATTCAAGCTGGCTCTTGAAAAATGCCTGTTCACCAACATAGGTGGGTTGTTAAGCTTAGACGTGATATGTCAAGCTGAGTGTAACTACCTAAGGTAGAATAATCAAAAAGAAAATTTCGCTCCCAAATGCCCTGGTACGACCGAGAGGGTAGAGTCATCTCTCCTACTCGAAATGCTCTCACATGACCACGTGCATACAACCACTGCCAGGGAAATCCTACTCACTACCTTCTCGAACCATGGGTGTTGTTTACGAAATTGAGAGGACGAAAAGCGAATGGTCGGCACTTTAACCGGGTTGGTGGATATGGAGGATCCACCTAGGGGAGTTGGAAAACCCTGATTCCAAACCAATGGTGTACATAGGCTCCAGGATTCTAAGAAAAACAAATAGCGTATGAACCAGTTGTTGGTCACCGGCTACCATGGGACTGCATCTCCTTACGTTGCTCCACTGCCTTGTGGGTCAGACCTTTGGGTCAAAGTCTCGCAGTGTGGCCTCCCAAGAAAACCACGTGCTCCGATTCGGGCACCAAAGCAGTAAATCAACCCTCACACAAATCGAATGATTTATTTGGCGCCTATCTGTTTGATGCCTCCTTGTACCAATGTTTATGTATTTAAATAAACAGTAAATAAGTTTTAATGTAAAAAAGAGCGGAGAAATATCTGTTTCACTTGGTTCTTCATCATGGCTCTACACCACGTATATGATTTACAATTAACCAATAATAACTGAGTAATCGTCTATATAAAAGTACTATAATTTCACAAACAGTTATGAAAATAATGTTAAATGACTGATCAATTTGTTAGAAGAGGAATATGGTAATTGTAATAAGTAAAGCAATTATTTGTAACAATCGAAAATATATGTTTATCAGACTACACAATATTTGATAAGTGGGCAGACAAAATATTCTGATTATAAGTCAACTTAATAACAGTTGCGTAAGAATCAAAGGGCGAATATTTAAATCATGTAAGAACCCAAAAAGTGGAAGGAATTATGAAATGTTTCACTAAAGTATGAGGTGAAACAAAGTTCGGTCGTAGCCTGCTTGTATATTGGTAGACAAGATAGACAGACGAGTTGAATGCACTACTTTTAAATGAAAAGGTTAGGTTTATAAATGTGGATTTCAATAGCTTCAGAAAAATTCAAGAGAAGAGCTCGTGAACTATGCTTAATCTGTCAACTACAGTGATCATTTAACCTGTTTAGTGCTGGCTTCATAAGTAGTATAAAAGCAAATCAATAGGATTGTCTTCAGTTCAGTGAAATATGTATTACAGTACCATTCTATGATAAACTTGTTAGGTTCTTCACCATATCATTACATATTAGAACTAAAGTTAGCAGACCATCTATATTGGTAGTTACCGTTAAGTCCCGAAAATGTTGATAACCACTTTGTCATTTCAGTGTCACATTCATTATAAATCAGCTAGTATTTTTTCAGTACATTTACCAGGATTATTAGCAAACAACAATGAAAGTTGAGTAAATTGAATCACACCTTAAAGAATGAACTTTGAAAAACCTTCGTCAAGTAATGTCATCTAAATAGATATTTGAGCAGTTTGAATTAGCTGCTAAGCTCTGATTTTTAGGATCAATACAGTTTTTGAGTCAGCCGTCTTTACTCACTCTAACTACTTCAAAGTTTGAAACTTCTATTTTTATCGACTTGGTGAAAATACTTCACTTTTCATCAACTTTAATTCCCAAAAATCCATACTACCTACAAATATTCCTTGAATATTTCAATTTTCCTCATTACTAGACGAGACAAAATATATAGCTATAGGTTAAACTACTGGTAAGTAGCCTAATGAAGTTAATAAAATAGTTTTTCATCCCAAATACCGTAATGTTTCTAGTTAAACGGTTGTCTAAAAAAATATAAAATTAATTTCCCCTAATAAGACTGGTTAAGGTGTGCACTTCTAAGAGTATTTAATTGGTGATTGATCAAGTTCCATAGTGATCACACTTCATGTGTTATACAGTTGGACAAAAAATTTCTGACTTCACATTTCAATGAAGTTAATAAACTATATCCAGCATAACAAATTAAACGAAATGTAATATCAAGTTAAAAGATCTATCAACAGTGTTTAGTTGTTTATTACTGACATTATGGCTCATCCAACACTGGATTTATTCACCAATTTAATTAACATTAATGAATCATAAAAAAAAGGTGAGATCGTCTAGGAGGAATAAAATTTACTGTCAGTAAATATTTGTAGAACATATATTTGTAGTTTGGAGGTACATGAATTTAACCATTAATGTAGATATCCCTTTTAATCAGAATGTTTATCAGTTTAGTGTATCATGGTCTTTTATCTATGTCCGTATTAAAACTGAACAAAGAGTGATATGACTCGATATAAGAAAGAAAAGAATACAGATAGTTTATTATACGTCGAAGGTAAATCAAATGCTATGTCTGAGCACACTGAGTTTTATAGGTTTTTAGTTACGTTGATTAATAATTAAGTTTGAAAAAAATGAACTGGATAGTACTAGGTGTTAATTAATCAGTAACTCAAGGTATTAATATAACCAGTATCGAGGTTAAGCTGTTACAATAAAAAAATGTTACTCATTCCTTTCTAACAGTTTAAATGTTCATCAGGATCGACAAAATGTGCCAACTATTCAAATGTTTTGAAAAGCGAATTTGCAAGGATCTGAATCATAAAACCATATTTAAGAAATGAGTTAGTTGTAGAATATAATAAGATATTAGACTTAGTATTCATTTCCATTTGACTTAAATTTTGATAATATATATTTCTAAATATTAATTCCCAATCATAGACTACTTTCATCTAATTTCGAATTAACTTCAACATGAAAAATCTTAGGTTTTACAACACCAGAGTTTCTTATATATTATTATTGACAAGTGATAGATTTCGGAAATTGTCGATACATTTTGATTCTATATATATTGAATTAGGTAACTGATATTGTTTCCTTACAATGTGGAAAAAAGTAATCGACCGTATTGGTTTTAACTATTATTAGAATTATAACCTATGTAAATGAGAATGAGTCAGCTAGCAAAACAAACAGAACCCGAGAGGAATAGTTAGTTACTAAGTTGTTTGTAATAACAGATATAGATTAGTACTTACATCATGAGCTAGAACATAACCTTATACACTTTTACATAAGGAAAACAAGAGCTATCAATAGTGGTGATAATAATGATAGTAATAAAAATAATAGCTGTCTTCAGACAACCAGTAATACTAGCAATCTGATAAGTGATAAATACAATTAGCTGACTGTACACAAACTGTGCATGGGTATGTGAGTTTAATATTCATTAGTAAACAGACAGCCAATGTAGATAGGTGACTCATTTAATTATCAAGCATATTTTCAATATATTTGTGAGACTTATTCCTAACCACTCTACTTTATTCGATTATAACATCTAAGAGGTTTCATTTGTAAGTTTGCATTTTTCGCTGTTGATGTTAGGGACTGCAAATGATCGCTGTCTTGGCATATTTCCATCTTGAGAAGATTGCTTTGGTATTGACATTTAGTCGGAAATTCTGGTAAAGTTGAATTGTGGCTAGCAGTGGAACCTGAGTTGGCGTCTGGAGTGAAAGGTACTAGATGTGAGTCTCAATGAGAACACTAACAGTGATGGACGCACATACAGCTGATTAATCCCAAATTAGATAAAACACGCGTCATAGATTCAACTGTCAGTCATAGTCTGACTTTACTAAATCTAAGAGGATTCGTCTATGTTACTTCAGTAGCATCTTGTTAAAGTTGCAAACCTATCTCACATTTTTCGTTCGTACTGTAAACAGCTACGACTTTAGAAAATCAAATTTTGTCAAT